TCATTTTTATTGTGATTTGGGTGAAAGTTTATAGAGCAAATTCATTTTCCATACAGCAGATCACATACACTTTGTCTCATGACATTGACTGCAATTTCCCATAGTGCAAAAGCTCCCCTCCTACTTCTTCCCCATAGTTAAGTCTTCCCTGTGCCTTTCCCTCCTGTGCACTCCTGTCCCTGCCCTGCTGTCTCCCTGTGCATACATAGCCCTTCTATTCTCCCATGATTGATCTTGGCAAGGAACATATCTACCTAATGTAAATGTTTAGCTCATATGCCCATCTTTTGTTTGGCTGGAAGCCACAGGAGTGGGTTCAATTCCATACATGAAGGACAGCTAGGGGCCATGGTCTCAGAGGTTCCATCAGGCTCTATCAGATCAGCAAACCTAGTCCTCTTTTTTTTTTAGTGATTTTGAATTTTGTTCCAAATTGTTTTCCCATTCTATCCAAGATCTCCTACATAGATCCCTCTCTGAGTGGTTGACAGTGGTAGCTGGGCACCATCTAGTTCTGGTCTTTTATCATATAGGATGAGGATCACATGGTATACCAGTCCCTTGGACTAATTGTTTCCATGCATCTTTGGTTTTCTTCATTCTTCTTTGCTCCAGACGAGGAGAGATCCATCATGGCCGCTTGCAAGCTTTTAAGATCCCATTTGCTACTTCCCAAAGTAGGATGTGGAACAATGTTTTTGTGTAGTATATTACACCAATTGAACTTGATGTCCCCTGCAACTATGGTCCTGAGCCTACAGGTCCAACTACTCACTTCCTCTGGGTAGCTGGCTATGGCCAAGAAGTGACTATAACCTTGTCCCTTGTGAGCTCTACTATCTACCTGGAAATTCTTATAGAACATACAAATACACTTGTAGAAACATTGTCTGCCAACCCTATACATGGTCTTGGCACACTCTCCCCTGCATAGACATAACTAATAGTTCAGCCTGTCCACCCATCTATCCACCTGTATATCAATGTTATCTTAAACTTGAAATATTTTTAAAAGCCACAACTAAAGGTAGTAGCTCTCAGTTGATATTCACTGCCCTCCAGATCTGCTCCCACCACTTGTCTGTCAGCTTGCATGTGGTTACTGTGGTTGCTCGCATGTGCCATGATGTTAGAAGCTATGCTGTTGATATTTCAAATATCTGCAAGGTCACCCATGGTGGACAGGTTTCAGAGGAGCTTCCAGACTAAGACAGACTGGTAAAAAGGATGGAACCATCTACTTCCAAAATAATTGGCCACTGAAAACCATGTGAATAGCAGTAAAACACTCTCTGATATATTACTGAAAAAACTTTATGAATAGCTGTAAAACGTCTGGTAGAGTGCCAGAAGATGAGCTTTTCAGGTTGTAAAACACTCAAAATATGACTGGGGAAGAGCTGCCTTCTCAAAGTAGAGTTGACTTTAATGACACTGATGGAGGAAAGCTTTCGGGACCTTCATTTGCTGATGTGGAATGACTACAAATGAGAAGAAACAGCTGCAGACATCCATTATGTGGAACATCAGGACATGGAATGTATGAAGTATGAATCTAGGAAAATTGGAAGTTGTGAAAAATGAAATGAAACTCATAAAGATCAATATCCTGGGCATAAAGAGTTGAAATGGACTGGTACTGGCCATTTTGAATCATGTGATCATATGGTATACTGTGCTGGGAATGACAAATTTGGAGAGGAATGATGTGTTCATCATCAAAAAGAATGGTTTAATATCTATCCTGAAGTACAACACTGTCAGTGATAATATCCAAAGACCTACAAGGAAGACCAGTTAATATGACTATTATTCATATTTTTGCACTAACCACTGAAGTCAAAGATGAAGAAATTGAGCATTTTTACCAACTTCTGAAGTCTGAAATTGACCAAACATGCAATCAAGATATAATCAATATATCAAGCTATATTGATAATTACTGTTGATTGGAGTGCAAAAGTTAGAAACAAAGAAGAAGCATTGGTAGTTGGAGAATATGGCCTTGGTGACAGAAATGATGCCTGAGACCACATGATAGAATTTTGTAAGACCAATGGCTTATTCAAGTACCCTTTTTCAACAAAATAAACGGTGTGAATTCACATGGACCTTGCCAGATGGAATACACAGGAATCAGATCAACTACATCTGTGGAAAGAGGCAATGGAGAAGCTCATATCTTCAGCCAAAATAAGACCAGGAGCTGACTGTGGAACAGACTATCAGTTGCTCATATGCAAGTTCAAGTTGAAGCTGAAGACAATTAATACAAGTCCACAGGAGTCAAACCTCGAGTATATCCCACCTGAATTTAGAGACTATATGAAGAAACAGATTTGATGCATTGAACATCAGTGACCAAAGACCAGAGGAATTGTGGGATGATATCAAGAACATCATACATGAAGAAAGCAAAAGGCCATTGAAAAGACAAGAAAGGAAGAAAAGATCAAAATAGATGTTAGAAGCAACTCTGAAACTTGCTTTTGAATGGAGAGTATCCAAAGAGAATGGGAGAAATGATGAGATAAAGGAGCTGAATAGAAGATTTCTAAGGGCAACTCAAGAAGACAGTGTAAAGTACTATAGTGAAATATAGAAAGACCTGGAATTAGAAAACCAAAAGGGAAGAACATGCTTGGCATTTCTCAGGCAGAAAGAACTGAAAAAATTCAAGCCTTGAGTTGCAGTATTGAGGATTCTATGGACAAAATATTGAGCAATAATGATGCAGGATGCATCAAAAGAAGATGGAAGAAGAGTCACTGTACCAAAAAGAATTGATTGACATTCATCTAGTTCAGCAGGTAGCATATGATCAAGAACAAATGCTATTGAAGGAAGAAGTCCAAGCTGCACTGAAGACTTTGACCAAAAACAAAACAAAACAAAACAAAACAAAACAAAACAAAACAAGGCATCAGGAATTGAGGGAATACCCACTGAGATGTTTCAACAAAGAGATGTCATGCTATAGGCACTAACTTATTATGCCAAGAAATTTGGAAGACAGCTATGTGAGCAACCAACTGGAAGAGATCTATATTTGTGTCCATTACAAAGAGAAGTGATCCAACAGATTGTAGAAATTATTGAACAATATTGTTAATATCCACACAAGTAAACTTTTGCTGAAGATAATTAAAAAACGATTGCAGCATTATATTGATAGGGAACTGCTAGAAATTGAAGCTGGATTCAGAAAAAGTGTGGAATGAGGGATATCGTGGTTAATGTAAGACGTAAGATGGATCTAGGACAATCATGGGAGAAAGAAGGGCTGTTTATGCACAGGGAGACAGTGCAGGGGGTAGGAGTGCATGGAGGAATGGAAACAGGGAAGAGGTAACAATCGGGAGTAAGTGGGAGGGGAGCTGTTGCATTGGGATAAATTGTAGTCAATGTCATGAGACAAAGTGTATGTGAACTGCTGTGTGGAAAGTGAATTTGCTCTGTAAACTTTCACCCATATCACAATTAAAAAAAAAAAAATAAGTTGGCTCTTGGCTGAAAGCAAAGAATACCAGGAAGATGTTTACCTGTGCTTTATTAACTATGCAAAGGCATTTGACTATGGGGACCAAAGCAAATAATGGACAACATTGTGAAGAATGGGAATTCCAGAATGCTTAAATGTGCTCATGAGGAACCTGTACATAGACCAAGAGGCAATTCTTAGAACAGGACAAGGAGATACTGAATGGTTTAAAATCAGGAAAAATGTGTATCAGGGTTGTATCCTTTCACCATCCTCTCTCAATCTGTATGCTGAGCTAATAATCTGGGAGACTGGAGTATATGAAGAGGAATGCAACATCAAAATTGTAGGAAGACTCATTAGTAACCTGCGACATGCAGATGACACAATCTTGCTTGCTGAAAGTGAAGATGACTTGAAGCATTTACTGATGAAAATCAAAGACTATAGCCTTCAGTGTGGATTACACCTCAACATAAAGAAAACAAAGGTCCTCATAATTGCACCAATAAGCAACATCATGATAAATAGAGAAAAGATTGAAGTTGTCAAGGATTTAATTTAACTTGGATCCACAATCAACACCCATGGAAACAGCAGTCAGGAAATCAGAGGATGTATTGCACTGGGCAAATCTGCTGCAAAAGACCTCTTTATTTATTTAACTTTACCCTTTGAATTTAACCTTTTGAATGTTGTACCATGTGAATGTTACTTACTCAAAAAGAAATCACTGCTGTGGGGATGAGAGTTGACCTAGAGGGAGCCCTCAGGGCACTGGAAATGCTCTATGCCTTGGTTTTAGAGGTGGATGTTCAAGCAACACATGTGAACAGCCATCAGGCTGTACCCCTAAGATCTGTGCACTTTATTGTAACTTATACTTCAATAAAAAGTAAGGTCTGCAAAAGACCTCTTTAAAGTGTTAAAGAGCAAAGATGTCATTTTGAAGACTAAGGTGGGCCTGACTCAAGCCATGGTATTTTCAATAGCCTCGTATACATGTGAAAGATGGACAGTGAATAAGGAAGACCGAAGAATTAATGAATTTGAATTGTGGTGTTGATGAAGAATACCGAAAATACCATAGACAGCCAGAAGAACAAATATGTCTTTTAAGAAGTACAGCTGAATGTTTCTTAGAAGCGAGAATGGTCAGACTTCATCTCATGTGCTTTGGTCATATTGCCAGAATGGACCAGTCCCTGGAGAAGGATATCATGCTTGGGAAAGTAGAAGATCAGTGCAAAAGGGGAAGACCCTCAATGAGATGGATTGGAACAGTGGCTGCAATGATGGGTTCAAGCATAGCAAAGACTGTATGGATGGCTCAGGACCAGGCAGTGTTTCATTCTGTTGTACATAGGATCACCATGAGTTGGAGCTGACTCAATGACACCTAATAACAGCAACAACCAGATCTGCTCAGGATGTCATTTTGGGATCTTGGAGTGAAGATATCCTAATTCCCATCCCTGCATGACTGTATAAGACTCTCTCTATACTTTTTCCTACACAGCAGCTCTTACAGGGCCAGTGCAATTGAACTGGGGTCTGGGAGATAATCTAGCATGCCCTTAAAACTCACCCATGTTACATGGAGAAACCATGGCTTGGGATGAGACACTTCAATTTAGCTGTCAGATAGTGAGGGCCAAAAAGGACATAAGAAAGGTGCGTATGTGTGTGCGAGAGAGAGAGAGAATGAGAGAGAGAGAGAGAGAGAGAGAGAGATTAGGGAAGTTAGGGAAGTGGGAGGTGATACTTCTCATGGTCCTCAAGACCAGTTTTTTCAATCAGTGCATTACAACTTGTTAGTTTCATTATCGGGTTATAAAATCAATTTAGTGGAATCAACTGGCATTCAAAGAGATGGACAACACTAAACTTAAATAGAATAAAAAATAACACTGCAAATAAAAAGATAGGATTTGTTTTGTGGAACTTGTTTAAATACACATACACACACACATTTGTATGGTATGTATGGCTTACTATGTGAAGTGTTTCTTCCTGTGGTCATAGGATGAAGTTGAAAACACTGTTCCCAATTCTGAGAAAGATACAAGGGCCCAGCCTCATGTGATGAACTCCAGTTCCAGGGAAGAGAGAACATTTCTTTCTCTATGCATGTATGTATATACGTTGAGTGTAAAAATAAGACATTTCACAAAAGATTAACTTAGTTTTCTGAGAATACAAAACTGAGCCATTTGACTAGCCACCTATTTCTACCCATAGTTGCTAACAAAAGACTTATATTTACTCAGATGCTCTCGTTTTTCTAATGCCCTCTCCCCCTTTGGCATCTGGTGAAGCCCATGAACTCTTTCTCAGAAAAATGCTAAATGTATAAAATAAGATGCGTATAATGAAGAAGAAACCAATTACAATGAAATAGTTATCAAAATGCTATAAAACTTTTTCATATAGTATAATAAATGTGCTTACATTAAATAATAAGATCTAGCACTGGGACAAATAAAATATAAGTTGAGTTAATTTTCTGGAGTCTCAGGTGGTGCAAATGGTTAACATGCTTGATTCTAAGCCAAAAGGTGGGTGGTTTGAGTCCATCCAGAGTCACTTTGGAAGGAAGGCCTGGCAACCTGCTTCTGAAAAATTAGCCATTGAACCCTTCTACTCTGACACATACGGGGTCACCATGAGTTGGAATTGACTTGATAGCAACTGGCATTGGAATTCACATTCTGTTGCTGCTGTAACGAATTACCACAAATTTAGGAGCTTGCAAAAGTACAGAACACTCATTTACTATTTTATGGTTCTATAGGTCAGAAGTCTGGGCAGGCTTGGTTAGTTTCTCTGTTCTGGGTCTCACAAGGCCAGAATGGTGTTGGTTGTCCTGGTCCCTTAGCTGGAGGTTCTGGGGAAGAATATACTTCCAGGCTCATTCAGATTATGAGATCCAGTTTTGTGTGGCTGAAGGCCCGAGGACCCTGTTTTTCTGCTGGCTATTGGCCAAGGTCTTTCTCAGCTTCTGGAGGCTGCCTACATTCCTTGGTTCATGATCCCTTCCATCTTCAAAGCAGCAACAGCACATTGAACCCTTCTCATGTGTGTAATCTCTCTGATTTCCTTTTCTATCTTCCTCTTCTGCTTTTAAGGGCTCGTATGATTAGGAAAAATTAAGAATAATCTCTCTCTTTTAAGATCAGCTGATTTACAGCCTTAGTCACACTTGCAGTGTTCCTTTTAGAACACTGCATGTAATAATATATTCATGAGCATTACAAAAGTCATGGGGCCACAACTGTGCCTTCTATACAGCTCCAATTAGAACACAGATGACTGAGCCCACTTAGAGTTTCTTACCCAGTAGGGACCACACTTTGAGAATAGCTGTTGTAGAGGAAGGTGCCAGGTTGGGTCAGAATGTTCTATAGCTGGTCACCTTTACTCCCAGCCTTAAGACCTCCACAGGCTTGTTTAGAGAGATGCTCATGGCTAGATTTTTGCTGGTTTTGAAAGATTTTAGTGGATCCTCCGTGGAGTAGCTAGGCTGAGAGCTGCAAGGGAGATTTGGTGGTCCTGCCCCTCAGCATGGCTACTGTCATTGGGGACATGGGGGGTGGTGGTAGTGGTGGTAGGAGTGCTCCTTGTAGCCTGAGGGCTCCAGCCTGGCATGGCTCTGGCAGCTGGTTCTGTCTATGTTTAGGGCATCTAATGCTTCCAGAATCCTCCACAGCAGGGGTTTTCAGGGTGTAGTTCTAGATCAGCAGCATAGCATCACTTGGTAACTTGTTAGAAATGCAAGTTCTCAGACCCACTCTAACCTGCTGAATCAGGTACTCAAGCGGGTGGGGCCCGCAACCTCTGTTTCAACAGTCCCTCCAGACTCAAGTTTGAGAACACTGATCCAACAGCTGCCCTGAGATTAGAGTTGGCAGCCCCTCCTTCAAGTAAATGGAACGTAGCCTATGTGCAAGACCCCTGGGAATGGCACCCCTTACAGGTGCAAAGGAAAAGACAGGCAATTCTGGTTCCATAAATTGCATCAACTGATGGTTTTTCTGACAAGGAAGTGAAAAAAGCCATATTAATTGCAAAGACTGAACCGTCCAGATAACATCTTTCTTTAAAGGCACATACCACCATCTTGTGGTGAGTTTTGGTAAGACAGTGTGTAAGGAGCCCTGGTGGTGCAGTGGTTAAATGCTTGGCTGCTAACTGAAAGGTCTGGGGTTGGAAAAATGTGTCATTCTGTATCTGTAAAGATTATAGTCTTGGAAGCACTACGAAGCAGTTCTACTCTGTCCTATAGGATCCCTATGAGTTGGAATTGACTTTGTCTTTTACAAAGACCTTGAACTCTGGGGGCCTAAGAGTACAGAGGCAGGAGCTCACCCCTCTGTATGGGTGCTCCTGGGTCCATCTTGACCCATACGGTGTAAAGGCCAGCCTGTAGCCATGCTTTCACATTGACTCTTTCAGCTTCTATTGCCAAACTCCACGTGAGGTTTGGAGAGGGGTCTTGCCCTCAGCTGCTTACAGCCTAATGCAGGGCTCAGGTGTGATGGTGGTGAGGGGACAGACGTACAACAAGTGATGGAAATGGTCCACACATAAGTTCACAGTTGCCTTCCTCTGGACAAATTTCAGGATTTGCAGCAGGGTCTGTAGCCCACCTGCGTCTCTCTCCAGTGCTTCTCCCTGCAGCGAGCCTGGGTAGTTTGTGGGGCACCCTGACCTCTTCTTCCTCTCTCCTGGCTCCTCATGCAGTTTCTGGCACCTGCTCCTTGGCTCATCACTTTCTGGAAGTCTCTGTCCTTCTCTAGTACCCTGACAGGCTGCATATCCTCCTGGAAGCTTCTCTGACATCTCCCAGCATGCTAGGCCTCTTGTGTGGTCTGTGATGCCTTGCATGTGTCTCTGTAACAGAACACAGGTCACTCCTGGGTTCTGCCTCCCTCCTTCTCCCCGCGCTGGAATCTGAGACCCAAACAGGTGGTCTGGGTCCAGTTGTCCTGTTGTTGGTAGCTGTTGTTGAGTTGCCCTTAATTCACGGGAAGCCCACGCATAACAAAACAAAGTATTGCCTGGTCTTGCACCATCTTCATGATCGTTGGTATGTTTGAGTCCATTGTTTTAGCCACTGTATATTTGGAGAGGCTTCCAACCTAGGGGCTCATCTTCCAGCACTGTTGTTGTTGTTGTTATGTGCCATAGAGTCGGACCTGACTCATAGCGACCCCTCCTTGGGTTTCCGAGGCGGTATCACTACGGAAGTAGATTGCCCCATCTTCATTCCAAGGAGTGGCTGGTGGGTTTGAACCGCCAGCCTTCTGGTTAGCAGTCAAGTGCCTTAGCCACTAGGCTACCAGAGCTCCCTCCAGCACTGTATGAGACAATATATATGGGACATGCATACTTCATGCAAAAAAACTAGCAAACGACAACAACAACAACACAACAAACCACTGACTCATGAGATAATAGAAAAGATCATACTTGCCATGTAGGGTGGAAAGACTATACCTGATTTTTGTAGCCTCGAATTTCCCAATTTGTGACAATCCTTGATGATTCTGTTTACAGTTTAAAAGTTTACTAAATGAAGACACTTGGGAGGAATCTTTGTGTGGTCACACTCAGTCCCCAGTGTTTTTTTGGGGACATTGCAAGATTCAAAGTGGCCTGCATTTGGTGCTTGCCTGTTGATATGTGGGAATGAGGAGTTTTCTAGGGGGCTCTGGGAGCAGGGGCTGAGGCAGGGGGATCTGTGGATTCAAGAAGGCTCTCAGACCCTATACAGGTGGGTTTGAATTGTGCTATGGTATTTAGGGCAAGTAAGTGGGCCCATGTGCCCCAAATTCTTCCTCTGTAAAGTGGTAATAATAACAGCCCCTCTCTCATAACATTGTTGGGAGTTTGGATGAGTTGATCCATATTAGAACTTGCCAGCATATTAACTCTTGCCCCAGGCTGAGGAACCCATTACCAAAGGGGACAATAGACTCTTTTAATACCTGAATTTTTCTTTTGTTCTTTATGATGGAACATTTCAAACATA